GCAAAACCATCACATCCCAACTATCAGATTAATACTGGGTTCTGGCAAAATTTATCATTGGCATTAAAAGTGGTGGGCAAATATCTAACGATGTATATGTCTATATAGGACCAGATATATATATATATATTTCTCCACATAATGTGTCAGATCCTTTTCATTTTTCTTTTCAATACTAATTTGTAAATGTACTCAAGTCTGTTTCATTTTTTTGTGGGAGTAAAGAAAGCAGCAAAAAGCTTCCAAAACATGTATTATAATGTGTTCCAAGATAATGTAAAGTTTTACATGTTTAATATGGTTAAATGGTATTATTTTATGCAATATATTTAAATGAAAGTTTAGATATGTAAAGCAAACATATAACTTGTTTGACTTCAATATTCTGACCTACAGAAATAAGAGAGCAAGACTAAATTATCTCTAAGATTTTACTTAGCTCCAAATTCAAGAATCTAAAATTTTACCAATAGAAGGCTGGGGATGTAGCTCAGTGGTAGAGTGGCTGGCTAGCATGTACAAAGTCCTGGGTTCCCTAGTTCAGTACTAAAAAAAATCAATAGCGAGGATAGGTGATTTACTTCCTTACCATGTCTGATACCTGTTTGTCTTTCTTTCTCATGAACTTTCGTTTGATGTCCTCCTGCTCAAATCTAAAATTTTAATACAGAGAGATATTTATAAATAGGAAATGATGTTTTGAAAACACTTCAAGAATCTGTAAATGTACTTACTGAATAAAGCGCATTATGCTCTTACAAGCAGAGCTGTCGGTCAGTTCTCCTGGTATGGTGTTTATGCCACTATTAGGCCATATATACACGGAACTGTGGCATACTCTGAATACAAGTGCGTTTGAAGAAAGTTTGGTTGTCAGGTCACTCAACACATGCTTTAGTACCTTCCTGATAAAAATTTCTAAAAGAATATAAATAGAAGTTGCAAAAAACCTTAAACTTTTCAACATAAATGCTTTCAAACATACATAAAAGTGCAGCATAGCAAAACTGACTGTCAAATACCTATTCTCCATTTTCAATAATTATAATAAAAACTTTTTGCCCATTTTTTCTAAAAAGCAAGATAAAAGCCATTCTTTCAAAGTATACAATTCAGGGCCAGGGATATAGCTCAGCAGCACAAGTGCCTGCCTGGCAAGCACAAGGTCCTGTACACCTCCCCTACCCAAAAGTATACAATTCAGTGGCTTTTAGCATATTCACACGGTCTTACAATCATCACTAACTCAGAACATTTTCTTCACCCCCCAAACCAACCATATCCCTATTAGGAGTCACTTTTCATTCCCCTTCTAAGTAGCAGGCTCAGCCAAATGCCTGTTGGAAATTTAGAGTTGATCTCTCATTGGCAATGTCAAAAGAAACAAATCCCAAACATAACTTATCACATTCCTACTTTGATAATCTTCATCTCTGTTTGTGGCAGTAGTACAAGCTAGAATTTGCCTTCCACAAAAGCTGCTGATTTTTCTCCTAGACTTCTTGTACCATTCCAATATCACACAGTATTTAAAATGGTGGGGCTGGAAATGCAGGTTGTAAGTCTGTAATCTGCAATTTAGATGCACAATTTACTTTGTGCTCATGGGGATATTTTATATTACTGTGACAGCTTTCCACAGTAGGGCAGTAAAGTTTCCTAAGGAAAGGGACATCTTTTTCTAATTTGCACACAGGTTCCCATGGATGACTTTACTAAATACATAATTTTAGTTTATCCTATCTCTTACTCCTTTTCATTTGCAAAATGGATCGAACCTCAGTAAATTTCATCATTAATTTTTACAATAAGAAGGGAAACTATTCTGAAAGACCTACCATCAGCAGTTGTTAGCTGAAAAGCCAGATCAAGGCCTCCTCTTATTCTGAAAAGTATATCCATAGTTTCTGAAATCACATAGAACAAATAAAACCAAAAATTCCTTTATAAACTAAAATAAACTCATTCTCATGTAAATTAGAAACTACTCGAGTTTAGGGTAAGGCAAAAAAGTTTTACTCTTTGAGTTACTTCATAAGTTAATGGCTTGTTTTGTAGGAAAAAAAGAAACTAAATTCTTTTTTTTTTTTTTTTTTTTTTTTGGTTTTTCTCCGGTACCGGGAACCGAACTCACGACCTTGCGCTTGCCAGGCAGGCGCTTTTGCCG